GGTGGTGGACTAAATGCTGAGTGGATTGATGGGTGAGGGACTGAATAAATGATTCAGCGAATGATGGAAGGTCCTAGTCGAGAAACCGTTATTGCTTGAGCCATTGAATGGATGCAAGCATGGAGGCCGGCTTAGTGCATGCATGCGGGCATTCCTCTGGGAATGAATGAATGACTCGGGGGCACGGAATGCTCTTCTCCACCCTTGGTGATGGGGAGAGGGGACTTGAGAGGGTCCCCTGGCCAGAGGGGTGCTCTCCTCCATCCCCTGCCCCCCACCATGGCCCAGCTGGACTGACTTCCAGGCGTCAGTGGGTGGGTGGTTGTTTCATGACCTGTGGACCCAGACAGGATCACCCTGCCTCATTTCTTCCTGCACCTGAACTCTGGAAACACAGGGGTCAGTAAACTCACATCGCTTTGGTGGCTTATTTACCTGAGCCCCCCCCCCCCCCCCCCCCCCCCCCCGCTGTGTCCAGCGGAGGACAAGGCGGGGCTTTGGAGGTGAGCGTGCACTGTGCCCCATGGAGGAGCCTGATGAGAAACTCCAGAGGGTACTGGGCCGGCCTCCTTCCCCTACTCCCTCTCCCTTTCTGGGAAGGGGCAGTTGACTTGGATCTGCCAGACTACGCTGGAGAGTGGCCTTCTACTAGTCCCCGCCCCTTGCTGGGCGAGCCCTGTGTGGGCGAGGTAGCTCCTCCTCCATGCGCTCCCGGCGCTCCCGGAGCAAGTCCTGGCTACACTGGCAGGCCAAGCTCAGAGCGAGCGCAGCTCGGGAGGCACCGGCTCCCACGAGCGGGGCCCACCCGCCCGCTGCAGGCTGGCCAGCCGGTGGGCCCGCGGGCCGCCCGCAGGGAGCTGCAGGAAGGAAGGCAGCCTTCAGCAGAGGGCACTCAAGCCCTAGGAATCCGCGCTCAGCAAACGCTCCTGTTTGCTCGGCATTTTCCCTGGGACGCGGAGATCATGAATCTCAGTAACTGGAGCCCAGGGCCTCATCACTCACCGTGATTGTGGGGGGATTGAGAGCAGGAGTGGATCAGTCTAAACAACACACACACGCCGGGGACTCATCCGAAGGAGCTGCAGGGCCACCACCGTCAGGGCCCCCTCCCTCACTCACAGAAGCCATGAGGGAGCCTCCCGGAGCTCTTCCTCAAAGCACCCCCCCACCCAGACACTCCCCCCCTCCACCTGTGAGCCTATGGGAGATGGGAATCCAGCGGGTGGCGGCGACTTGGACCAGCTCAGCCGTTTTCGGGGATGTTAATGAAATGCGGACCGCTTGTCCTTTCAGACAGCGGCCCCTTTTATTTGGGAATGAAAAGCTGCATTAGTCTGAATGAGGTTCAGAGGCCCCATAAATCCGGCGCTGGCTGCCTCCTGGGGGAGCCGGAGCGAGGCCTGGCTGGTGAGCAGGCTTGTTTACCAACAGTACAAAAAATCCAAAGCCAGGATTGGTGGCTCCGGATCCCAGGGAGAGGCTGCGGGAGACTGCCAGTGTGGTGGCCCAGATAAAACAAGAGCCAGGGGTGCAGGGGTGACCTGGGTGCCCCAGCCTGCCCAGGTCAGGAATCTAAGTCTTATTCCACTCTTAGCCTTTCCACAACAGCCTGGGGCTTTCTTGGGCGCAGGCCCAGATGGGGAGGGCCTGTCCTTAGGCCCTCTCAGCATGTGATCCCGGACTGCTCACCCACAGTGCCTGCAAGCAGTGAGGGCCAATCAATAATTAATAATGACAGAAGCCAGCAAGGCTGTCCACATACTAGCTGTGTGACTTTGAACTCCTTCCTTACCTTCTCGGAGCTCAGCATCTTATTCTGTGAAACAGCAAACCAACACAGATCCCATCACACACAGTGGGTCACAGAAAGCATTAGACATCGCGATACATTGAGTACACTGTCAGGATTATAAACAACATGTAATGGATACGAATTGTTCTTATTATCATTGAAAGGAGCAGGCTGCTGTCCCTTTGGGGGTAAAACCCTCTATGTAATAAAATGACTTACAGGGAGGCCAAGGATAAGGTCTGGTCCTGGGTTAGAGGTAGCCAGCTTCGCTCCAGCCCTGGGAAGTTCCCATCCTGGCTGCCAATCCCAGCTAACCCCACAGCCTCTGCAGCATGCAGCTGGGTCTCACTGCAGCCAGTTTAACAGTTAGCACTAGCACTGCCCTTGGCAGCAGGAGCAGGGAAGGAGGAACCCCTGCCTGGGATGACCTGAAAGCAAGGCCCAGACCACGCAGCTTCCCTGAGGGCAGGTTCAATGAGGAAAGGGGCCTCAGGTGGCCTGGCCCCACTCTCACCCTGGGAACCTCAGATTCCCTGTCTGTCTTCACCCACCCACTTCTCTACCACCCCTCGCCTGTCCATCAGCCTTTGAGGTAGCTGCATCCTTTTCTTCCTCCCACCCTCACCCTTCACCCCTCCCTCCCCAAGTCGGGATCACAGGCCTGTTCTCCCCTTTGACCCTGAGAGCTACATTCCTGCTTTTCCCAGTTTCTCCTGCACCCCAGGCCCTGTTAGAAGGGGGCGGGGGCAGGAAGGATTATCATCCTGGTGCCCACCCCCCCATCTCATCCTCTAATCATCCTTAGAGGCACCCTACATCCTTCACCTGGAGTTCAGGTTCGCGCCAATTTCCTTCCCATTTCTCCATCAGGGCAGTGAGCTTGTCTTCTTAGAAAAGAGCCAGTCCTTCTGGTTGGCTCCTGGGGGTAAGCAAACCAGCCTTGGAAGCTGACAGGTGATGGGGAGGGAGTGTCCAATGAGGAATAAAGAAGCCCCCAGTGTTGTCCAGGAGGTGGGAGCTCTCTGACCCCTCCTCTGCTTTTCCACTTGGTTCCTGTCCACTGGGGCCCATTACTCTAAAGGGAGGTGGCAGCTGCCATTTTTCTGGTTCTTGTTGCCAGCAACCTTTCCTCTGGTCCCTCCGGGCAACATTTTCCAGAGTCTTCTGCTCCAGGGTAAGAGAGGCCCAAGCATGGTGAAGGCTGATCCTGGAACCTCCAGTTGCTGGCGATCCCTCAAGGACTCTCAAGGATGTTCTGTTTCCCTTCTTGAGCCAAGTGTCCCCAGCGCCTCTCTTCCCACAGTGACAGTCCTTGCACTTGGGGTGAGAAGGAGTTCCCTCCTAATTGGCAGGACTGCCCACACGGAGCTATGTGCACTCCCACACAATGCCACCGTCCCCTGCACCCAGGCGGCTTCCAGTCAAGAGCCGGTCAGGGGGCAAGAAAAGACCAGGAAATGATCAGACAAGATAGAGCTCAACAGTCTATTTGTAAGAAAATTAAAGATTTGTTCTTCAGATGTTGGGGGGCCATGCTCTTTGCAGACGGCTGGCAAATGGGAGAGAGTGGGAATGATGGAATAGATCAAATTATTTAAATGAGAAAAATAAATTCACACATGGCCTAGCCCGCTGCCCGGTGACAGATCCGTTTATTTATCTACTGTATCGGCACTGCTTTGTCTCTGTCAAAAAGGTCATTAAACTCGCCTAACTGCGTAATTCGAAGCCTCCGGCTCCAGCTTCGCTCCATGGCTCTTCCCTTCTCTCCACACCCAGCGCCGCTAAAGAAAAAGAAAAAAATTATTGCTAATAAACTAGGTTTTTTTTCATATTAAACCACAACAACGACAACCTCAAAACACACACAAAAAAACCACACAAAACCTTGGGGTCATTTCCCCAAGGGTTCCTCTCCATCCCGAGTTCCCTAACATCCCTTTCCTTGGAGCAGTGGACTGGGAGGCCACCCCAGTCCGTCCCACGTCCTCGCAGGAAGAGGGCTGGAGAAGCCTTCACGCACCCTGCCAGATTGAAGTGTCGAAGGGAGCCAGCCACCTTTCCCCACGACCCCTAAGGCGGAGCTGCGCTGGCAAGCCGGCCTGCCACACTGATGATCTGCCTCGGCGGGCGCTCCCACCCTTTCAGCTCCTGTGGTTCCCCTGGCCCAACCCGGACAATTCCCTTTGAATTCTGTTTCCATCAAACCCCAGCCCCGACCCTCCATCCGCGCGGAATGCGGTTGGGGAGCGAAAGCGGTTCCCGGTTCAGTCTCCAGCGCCGCCGTCCAGCCAGCGCTGGCGACGGGGGAGCTGGAAGGCGAGCATCCTCAGACGCCGGGCGCTGGGTCCCTGTGCTCCCGCGGGCGCGCGCGGCTGGTCCAGCTGGTCGGGCAGCGGGGCTGCAGCGGGCTCCCAGCTCCCGGTGTCAGCCCGGGCGCTCCCCGCCCGACTCCCGGGCTCCATGCCCTCCTAGTTAAAGGCGCTGGGGGCGGATAGGGACGTCTGGGAGGCGAGGCGAGTCCCCGTTCTCGGGGCGTCCCCTCCAACTGGCTAGGGGTCCCCTTTTCCGCCCCCCGCGCAGGTGTG